TTTAAAAATTTACTCTAATTTAAATTTATCATTTATTTTTGAATAACACATTCAGTGATTTGCTAAAATCAGGCGAACGACAAACAACCTTCCTTTTGTTCCTATTTTATTATATAAGACGTGGCTCAGAACTGTTTTGACTGCTTCTTTTTGTTATTATAAACTAAAACTTTTACTCCAGGGCTTTTAAAATATTTGATTAATCTTTAAAACTGAATGTTTATATTCCTGCAGTAGATTTAAGTCGGTATTCTCAGGTTCAAAGACGTTTGTTCTTGTGAATAATCGCTTAAATATAATCCTTAAAAAAGAAGAAGAAGCTGGCCCTGACTCAAAGAGCTGCTTAATCTTTAGCACAGGAAGACATTAAGCTGGGACTTGGAGCTGCCTGAAAGTTAACTTAATGATCCAGAAATAAAGTCTTGAATCCAGTCCAGCCTGTCTGAAAACACAGCTGATCATTTTAATCAGCGTCAGTCTTCTGGAGAAATTAATCGTCTGCTCTCAGAAGGAAGTAAACACTTGTATTTAATAGTAAAAGTAGCTGGTACCTTAATGCAGATGGACTGCACTGACTCCTGCTCCTTGGCTTTAGCTATGTTCACCAGACTGTACACCTTCCTCATGCTGGCAGAGCTCTGACTAAAGCTGCGAGTTTGACTCTGTTAACCTGCTCAGAGTCAAACCTTACGTCACGCCCACACCACACAGGTGACAGGAGACGGARGGGAAGTCATACTAATGATAATGGAGGCTTTGTGGGCACACAGTTCTCAGAACTGTAGGAAGGAGGCACCTTCAACATAAAGACAGGTTTTTWAATCAGGCAAGGTTGCTCGAGTCCACAGATGAAGGAGATTATGWTCAGTGAAGTGCACCGAGACAACACACTGGTGTGAGAGACAGGCAGGACACAGAGACGCTTCATTCCTCTAAACAAAGGTCACACAGAGGACACTTCTTTTAGAAATTTGTTTTATTTTATTTTATTTTATTTTATTACTGAATCATATCTATGGAATTAGGCACACAACTAATTCCACATACCTCCATTACCTCTCTAACTGCATCCATATTTCCATCCATACTTCATCTACTGCTTGTTCTTAGATGTTGGAGGCAGCAGCAGGAGCAGAGAGGCCCAGACCTCTCTGTCCCCACTCTTTTAGCTCTTATTCCAAGGCGTTCCCAAGCCAGCCGAGAGACAAAGTCTCTATCGTGCCCTGGGTCTTCACCGGGGTCTCCTTCCAGTTGGACATGTCTGAAGCACCTCTCTTGGGAGGCGTCCACAGGAGGCATCCTTATCAGCTGAACCACCTCAACGGACTCCTCTGGATGCGCAGGAGCAGCGGTTCTAGTCTCTCCCCGATAACTGAAGCTCCCACCCTAGCTTTAAGGGAGAGTCCAGCTACACTTTCGTTTTTTCGGGTCTTTCAATAGTGAACAACAACAACACCCCTTCCCAGATACTTGGGGCAGAACCCCACCCCTAACCTAGAGCAATCCACCCTTTTCTGACTGAGGACCATGGTCTCAGATTTGGAGCTTCTGATCCTCATCATATACAGGTGCTGGTCATAAAATTAGAATATCATGAAAAAGTAGATTTATTTCAGTAATTCCATTTAAAAAGTGAAAC